GTTCCTTCCATGCTGTAATGTTTTCCCACTGTACCTTTGTACTTTGACCTATGTGCATAACACAAACTTATAAAATAGGTACTGAAGCCTGTTCTTTGGGTGGTATTTGCACCTGCTCTATATTAGCTGCCTAGGTCCTCACTGCATTCATCATTTTATGGTGGTGTCTGCCTTAAACCAAAACCCTGGGAAGAACAGGGACAGGGCACTAAGTTGTGGGCTGCCCTGCTCCAGAATGTGCCTTCTACACAGATGACAGCTGTGTTTGACAGTGAAGATGTTAATGAAGACGATGTTAGGAGAGCGAAGTTCTCACTTTGGCCACTCAGCTGGTGTTCTAGGAAGAGACATTTGACCCTTATGGGCCTCAGTTTTCTAATCCTAACAAGATGATTTTTAAGGACATTTCCAAACTTCAAATTGCACATGTGCCCAACGTTAAGGGTAAGAAGAATAATAACCATTACATTCTCTCCATAAAGGCAGATGCCCCCACGTGAGCGTTTCATGGCTCTCACGAACATTTTGTTACAAAGCACCATGAAATTCAGAGAGAGGGGAAGATACAGAAAAAGAATTCAGCAGAAAGAGTAATCCCTCAATCATCTGGTTTTGTTCTAGTTTCATAAGTTATGCAAATATTTAATTTGTTATGTAATAATTGTGACACAATTATTAAAGAAAAATTAATGATGATACTTGTTAAAGATGGTGTTAAACCAACACTCTTTAGAACCCGAGTTCTCAAAAATAAAAGGGTTTATTGAATCATTAGACGTGCTCGTCAGAAAACGAAAGGACAGGTTCTGTTCCACAGTTGCCCACAGTCAGGCCAGAGAGCAGTTGAAACTATGTCTGATAGACCTAGGGCTAAGATTTGTGAGTTTTGTTTTGTTTTGGGTTCTGGGCATGGAACCCGGGGCCTTGGGTATGCCAGGCAATCATTCTTCCATGGAACTACACTCTCTTGGCTCCTGACAGTATTTTTATAATGGAAGTTTGAGGGGCTAGGGTTGGAGTCTCAGCCCCTGTCACGAGCAGCTTCTCAGCCTTGTCTGGTTACCAGGAGTTCCCTTCCGGATATCTGCACTGGACCCCGGACCGCGACGTACGCGAACACCAAGCACGAACTCGATTGCCTTTTGAAATGCTGGTTTATTCGCACACCACACAAAGCAATACACGAGGTGGCTGGCTCACACTGCACGATCTTACTCTCAGGCGATGAGAGTTGATTGTGAGCAAATACATGGAGTTTCCCTCGCGCTTATATACTCTATATGTTTACAACAAACTTGTTTGTGTCTAACTTATCTAACATAAGCACACTACCTAGTTACATCATCAACTTATCTAACATGGGCATACTATCTAGTCATCCTATAACCAAAAACATGTTTACAACTAAAAAGTCACTTAGTCACTGCAAAGTCCAAAACAAGTCCAAAACAAGTCCTTTTGCTGATTCATGTTGTTTGTTCATCCTTGATGTTTACTCCTGTCAGTAACATAACTTTTTAACCTTGTCCTATTTAAGAAGTAATCCATGCTGTTTATGTTGCTAAAAGCTAAGTTAAGTCCTTATCCTGGATACCAATCCAACACTGAGGTTTTGAGCACAAGGAAAAAGCTTTATTGCTTTGCTAGCAAAGGAGAAACACAGGAGACTCCTGTTCCAGAGGCTGGGATTCTGCCCATCAGCAGGAACAGGGGGCTTTTAAAGAAGGTGATTCAAAGGCTACATTCCAAGTACTCTGTTGCAGTTATAATTCACTTGTTAATTTGGGAGACAGTCATTTCTGAGCTATTCTGGTACTAGTCTGGATTGCTTTGTTCCTATGGTGGGTGTGTACTCAAGGACAGATAAATCTGCCTAAAATGGAGAAGAAAGGTAATCCTGTCCCCACCCCACCCCCAGAGATTAGGGAGGGAGAGAGATTAGGGAGGATCTGGGAGAGAGGAAGAAACATGTCCTTTTTAAAAATAAATTGCAGTGGCAGAGAAGCAAGGGCTATATTCAAAGCATAAAGTGGCCGCACTGTTACATTTAATTTTACCCCGAATATGATAGTCCTACAAATGATTCATGTTTAATTTGGACATCAGACAAACTATTAACATGTGAATAAACATAATGATGTTTTACGGCATTCAAAATAGACAAAATTGTTCCTACCCCCTTGTTGGGAAGTTCAAACTGTCCCTCTGAAGGTTCAGAAACAATCTGCTAGAACCAAGGGACAATAGAAACTAACAGGAGAAAAGCCATCCCAAGTTTATTAACATTGTGAAAGGACAAAATTACAATTGAAATATCTTAATTGATTTTCCATTCTAGAATCAAGCAACACTTAATTTTATAAACTAGAGTAAATGTTCCACGAACTGAGCAGAGGTAGGTTTTACAGAGAAAGGCTAAAGAAAGCAAAAACAAAGACCAAATATCGAATGGCTCATTTCCAACTTTCCTTATAAGGAAGGGACAGGGAGCCAGAACAAGAGAAAATTAACGATTGGTTAACTTCAGGTTACTCGAGGTCACTTCTTTTTGTGTGTAAGAGTTAAAGCAGAGGGAACTTCATTATCATGCCGATGGAAACTATCCTGCATGGAAAATTTGGCTATTCTCTCTCACTTGTCCTGGTCTCCTTCTGTCCTCTGGTACATTGGAACTTTTGTGAGCAGGACTCCAGTTTGATTTTTAGTTCCATTTGTTGAGTCTGAATGCATGAGCTTAGTTCAAAACAATGGCCTCCTATAACTTCTATTTAACATGCAACCATATTTGCACGTTTTGTATTCCATACAGAATATGAAACTTGAAGAGCCAGATGGTTGGGGTTTAAATACTCTCTTCATATGAGGACAGGGAAATGGAGAGTGTAGGCAATTTAGAATAATAAATGATTTTACGCGAGATGAATGGACTCAGGAGACAGAAATCAGTTTGTCAATGGTTTCTTTTGGAATTTGAGCCACAGAGATTAAATATAACTTGTGACAACGCCTGTGGATTCATTACCATCTTCTTTCCTGCGATCATAAAATTTGGAGCGAGATGGGGGGTGGGGTAAATGATGTTTGTGGGAACAGTATTAAGGCAGATGAGGGACTATCCGAGTGTAGCCTTTCTGATCTCCAAGGCCCTTTAATTTTAAATAATCAGCATACCAGGGTACCAAATTTGGGGGCGACTTTCGCGGGACTCCATTCAGATGCTTGAAATGTTTTGTTGTATTTCTTTCTTTCTTTTTTTTTAAGTATTTATTTTTTAGTTGGAGTTGAACACAACATCTTTATTTATTTACGTTTATGTGGTGCTGAGGATCGAACCCCAGGCCTCACAGGTGTGAGGCCAGCGCTCTACCGCGGAGCCACAACCCCAGCCCCATTAATTTGTTACCTCCTCCTCCTCCTGAGCGGCCTGCACCACCACACCCAGCAAAATGATTGCATTTGGTAGGAAAGAAAGAAGGAAAGAAGAAGGAAAGAAAGAATTACTTTTGTTTTCGCGGTTTTCCAGTTTTATTTACAAGTGTTGAGTTTCAGACTTGTTTTTGCAGTTATGGGGGATGACCCTGATTACACGGTACCACAATTAAGCCCTTCAAGTTCTTTTTGCAACAAAGAGGCTAGGAAACATCCGTTCTAATAGCGGATACAGGAATGCAGGTAGCAGCTGCATTGCACTGTGAGGTTTTAGAACTGGCACTGGCGGCTCAGTACCAGGTCCAGAAAATAAAAGCCGTCACAAGTTCCTAGACCCGCCACGGCAGTGCGCGCTCTACGGCATCCCCCGGACTTGCGCGAACCTCGCTGCACAAGCCTATGTCCCATCCCGGAAGCTTCTCAGGTTCATCCTACAGGAGTCCGCTCGAGGCACGGGACCCGCGCTCCAGGCAGGTCCCGCGTACCCAAAGAGGCGGGAGAATATAGTCCGAGGCGCGCTCACCGCGCTCGAAAGCCCCAGGCCCCAGCTACCCGTGCCCGCCGGACAGGGGCAGCGGCGGCGAGCTGCCTCCAGCCAGTACGCCGCCCGGCGCGCCGAGGCCAGAAGCCGACTCCACGCCCCTTCCGAACCCTGGAGCGGAGCTGATGACGAACACAGGACGCGACAGACGCACACGCCGCCCCGCGCACACACGACGGTGCGTGCAGGGAAACGCGAGGGAGTCCCGGGCCGTCACCGGCGCGACCAGCGTCCCGCCTCCTCCACTCCCGGCGCTCCCGCCACCTCGGCAACTCCGCGCCCGCCTTCCGCCTTCGTCCGAAGCCTCCGCCGCAGCGAGGCTCCCGGCCTCGCTCCTGTCTCTTTAAATGGTGGGGCCGACTGGCGGCCCCTGCAGCTGCTGCCTGGGTGGCCCCGCGCGCCGCTTTTGAGGGGCGAGCCAAGATGGCGGCGGCTTTGGCTCGATGAGGAAGACGGAAGAGGCGGTGGCAGTGGAGAAGGGAAAGCGACTTCTAGCAGCCAGGGGCGCTGCGGCGGCCGGGGGCGTTCGGAGTCTCTCGGGCAGAGTTAGCAGTTGCAGCAAGAGTAGGCGCCCGTCGGCTTCGGATATTTGAAGCAGGGGGAACGGAGCGGGACCACTGGGCGCGGAGGCAAGGCCAGGTACAAGGAAGGAAAAAATGGCGGCGGCGGCGGCCTGAGGAGGCGGTGGCGGCGCGGGAAGTAGCTTGGCGGAGATCATGGCGGAGGCGGGAGCAGGGCAGTGACCGGAGCCCCGCGTTCCTACCGCGGCGGGGCGGGAGGCTCCGCAGCGCCGCGTGCCCCTTTCGGGGCTGCCGGGCGGCCGGGCCTGGACAATAGCGCCGCGGAGCCGGAGGCGAGAGAAGGCGGCGGCCCAGAGCTCGGGCCCGGAGCTGGCCATGCGGGCGGCGGCGCGGGCCCGCGGCGGTCACCGGCAGCAGTGAGGCCCGAGAGTCCTCCGCTTGCGGGCGCCCGCCTCTCCCGGACCCCGTTCCTGGGCGACTGCAGCCGGGCTCCCGCCCCGGCCCTCGGACGGCACGATGACCGACACCCGGCGGCGGGTGAAGGTTTACACGCTCAACGAGGACCGGCAGTGGGACGACCGGGGCACCGGGCATGTGTCGTCCGGCTACGTGGAGCGGCTGAAGGGCATGTCCCTGCTTGTCAGGGCCGAGAGCGACGGTGAGTGCAGCTTCTCGCGGCGGGACCCTCGCCACCCCTACGGCACGGGGCCACCTCCCTGGTGCTTGGGTGCAGTGGCGCTTGGCCCGCGAGAACCTAGGGGCAGTGTGCTGAGGAGTGCAGGCCGCGGGGGCTCCCGGAGCGCGCCGGAGGTGTCCGCTCCTCGGAGTGCCTGGTGGCTTTGAGGGTTCGAGTAGGGCCAAGTACTTTTGAGTTGTGCCGCCCGGGAGCGTGGAGAGGCCGAGCGTGCTCTTCTTTTGCACTAGAGTGACCTTGAGAAAGGCACCGTCCCATCTGCCTTGGTTCACCCATCTGTAAAGCAGGTGTGCAACTTTGGTTTGAGCTAAGAAAGTTCTTACCTGCTGCATACTTTTAAGAACATTTCGCTGTATGTGTGTGTTTCTTTCTTTTCCTTTTTTTTTTTTTTTTTTTTTTTTTTAACATTTTGGCTACATCTTTCTGATCCGGTTGCTGAGTGGCAACACAGATTCGTGGGTCTGCCAACTCCACACTGAGCTGCGAAAATGGTGTTTCGCATTGTGAGGGTACGTTTGCGTTCACCATCGTTGGTTGTCTTTCTCGTTGGAATGCAGGTTTTTTGTTTTTTTTTTTAAGTGTGTATAGTTCCTGCAAACTTGGAATCATTTTATTGCGAGCTTTTTTTTTTTTTTTTTTTTTTTTGGTTGCTTAAATATGTGTTCATAATTTGGTTTGGTTAACAGGTGGACAGAAGTAGGCAGATACTTTTGAATCTGCCCTAGTGCTTTCTTTCGGGTATTTTGAAACAACCCTCAAGGTCCAAAGACCAAGCAGTTTGAAAATAACAGGTTTTCACATTTTAAAAGACTTACTTCCTATAGGGAAGGTCACTTCTCTCAGTGACATTCTGCGAATTTCATGTAAAAGGAAATGTTCACAATTGGGTAAAGATTTTTTTCTTCCAAATAAGAAAGTAGTTATCTCCCACCTCCACATATCTTGTTACATTAGTCTGTGCTTTTATAGTAACTCATTATGTCAGTTTATTATGATTGTAGTTATTCTGTGTCTGAGTTAATTACAAATATTTTAGGATTTTTTTTTTCTGTTGGAATTTACCCAGAACTTTTGATTCCATGAAAAACTAGATTCTTCTGTTATTGAAGATTGTAGTATCATTGGTATTTGATCATATTTGAAAAATGGTAATTTGGGGTATAATAGTTCACTGGTTATCTTTATAGTTATAAAGATAAATTTGTGAACATTATTTCCTTTTAGGGGCATTTAATGTTTTTAATGTAATGGATATACTTTTCAGAGACTGAGTTATTTTTTGCCTCATAAAATACAACCTGAATGTCAGGATTAGTGTGCTTTGGTATGTGACTCTCACATAATAACCTACTCTGCCTTTACATCTGTGTACATTTGGAAAACTTTTTTAAATATACTTTTTAGTTGTAGATGGACACAATACCTTGTGAGGCAGACACTTTACCACTGAGCCACAACCCCAGCCCCCATTTGGAAAACTTTTTACATAGTGAGTTGAAAGTATGGGCTTTTAGGTTCAGTTAGCTTCTTTTTTGGAATACTAGGGTATCGCAGGGATAGAGCCCAGGGCCTGGAGCTTGTGGGCAAGGGCTCTGCTATTGCACTACACCTCCAATGCTGGTTAGATACTTTTGAGATGAAAGTATGTATACTTCGGACAATTTTTTTGCAATTTCATATTAGAATTAATACATTCAACTTCCATCATCTGTCTTATTTGATTCTTGAAACAAAGGCTTTTAAAAGTATTTAGAAATATTAAGGTTTAATGTTAAACTACTTATTATAAGGAACTCTACTCTCCTAATATGGCGATACAAAGAACTGGTAGGGTTTTATTTTTGCTTGGTTTGGTTTCCCATTTGTTTTTACCACTTAGAAAATAACTAATCTTTCTCCTTCCATTTGAAAGTTTGGGGGCTCTGCAGTAAAACAAGTTGAATGGCTGAAACAAAATATCTTTAATTTTTATCTCATAGGAAAAAAGCTGAACTAAATTGCTGATCTACCTTTGTAAATTTTTTTTCCCTCCCATTACTGGGAATTGAACCTAGGGGCACTCTACCACTGATTTATATCCTTAGCCCTTCTTATTTTTTATTTTGAGACAGGGTCTCACTAAGTTGCTGAAGCTGACCTCAAATTGCAGCCCTCCTGCCTCAGCCTTCCAAGTTGCTGGGATTCCAGCCATGGGTCATGGTGCCAGAACATACTCCCCCTCTGCTTCGCGCACCACCACCCCCTTTGTTTTTTTTTGTTTTTTTTTTTTCCCCTTCTGAGGCCAGGGTCTCACCAAGTTGCCAGGCCTGGCCTCTAACACACAATCCTCCTGAATCACTGGGATTACACACGTGAGCCACTGTACTACCCTTGTATATTTAAATTTCTCAGGTTTAGAAAAGTTCCAAGATACTAGTGAAGTAATCTTTAGCTTGATGATTAACTTGTTTTCCTAACAGGAAAATTACAAGCAGGTATAATAATAGTGAAATTTTATCCAGTGCCTACTATATGCCTGGGTTTGTTTTTTTTGTTTGTTTGTTTGTTTTTTTGTAGTTGTCAGTGGACCTTTATTTTATTTATTTATATGCAGTGCTGAGAATCAAACCTAGGGCTTCACACATGCTAGGTAAGTGCTCTACCACTGAGCCACAATCCTAGCCTGTGCCTGGGATTCTTCAAGCAATTTACTTGTAGTGTCTTAATTATATAATTCATAAGTAATTAAAACAGTTCTCTGATGTAGGTATTATAATTAGTCATATTTTGCAGATAGAAAAACTGAGGCTCAGAGATGGTGAGTAATTTACTTAACACATCTGGATTGGGTCAAGGTCAGCATTCAGTTTAGGAGCTATGGTCTCAATTTGAGTGGGAAATCTAGTCAATGGTGAAGGCAGTTTTATTAACTGCAGTAAATTTAAAACATTTGCTGTTTTTTTTTTCTTGACCTCAAGGTTTATTTCAAAGTGATAATAAATTTTAGTCTAAACATATTCAAAGTTATAGTTTAATGTCTCTGAGCTACATGCAAAAGTTAACTGTGTTGACTGCTAGGTTGGGTCAACCATTATCATGTGCTTCCCCTGTTCTCCACTAGAGGATATGTGAGAATTTTTTATTATGATGAGCAAAATGGGAAGTATTTCTGATTTTCCGTAAATGAGTCATTTATCCAATAGAAACTTAAAATTATTGAGTTTTTCCATGCTTGGGCTGGAAGTACTAATTGTATTATGGTGTTTTGTTTTTTTCTTTTTAATGAAACGTTTACAAAATAAAGCTCAAATGAATTAACTGTATAAATGCTAATTTATTCATATTTTCCCACAATTCTAAAGATTTTCAGTCTGTTTCTTTAAACTCAAAAATATGTAAGCCAGTGGTGGCATATGCCTGTAATCCCAGCAGTTTGGGAGGCTGAGGGAGGAGGTTCACAAGTTTAAGGTCAGATTGGGCAATTTAGCATGATCCTGTGTCCAAAATAAAAAATAAAAGCAAACAAACAACAAAAATACAGGTTGGCTCATTGGTAAAGTGCCCCTGGTTTAATCCCTAGTACCACTAAGTAAATAAATACTTTATTCCTAGCAGGTTTTTGGGGAGGGTTGATACTGGGGATTAAACTCAGGGCCACTTTACCACTGAGCTATGTTTCCGGTCCTTTTTTTATTTTCTATTTTGAGACTGGGTCTTGCTAAGTTGCTGAAGCTGGCATTGAACTTATGATCCTCCTGCCTCAGTCTCCTGAGTTATTAGAATTACAGGCATGCACCACCATGCTCACCCAAAGGATGTCTGTGTGAGTGGTGTTGGGATTGAACCCACAGCCTAGCACATGCCAAGCAGGCACTCCAACACTGGGCTACACCTACAACTCCTTAAGGATGTCTTTTGACATAAAATCATATCCATGCTTTTTATTCTGGATTACCTGATTAACATCAAGAAAAGTGTTGTTTTTTTAAATTTTTTTGTTTTTTGAGATTAAAGTATTGCTTCATTGCCCAGGCTAGTGTGGAAGCCTGGGCCCAAGTGAGTTTCCCACCTCTGTCTCCAAGTAGCTCTGACTACAGGCACATGCCACATGCCCAACTTTGAGAATGGTAGGGGTTTTGTTGTTGTTGTTTTGTTTTGTTTTTCTTCATGGTGGAGGACTGAACTCAGGACCTTGCTTGTGCTAGGCAGGCGCTGTGCCACTTAAATCCTAGACCCCCCACCCCCATTTGGTTTTTACCTTATGTTTTGTAAACTGTTTTAATTTTGAAATAATTTTATCTGATTTTACTTGCCTCAAGAATTGAACAGATTAAATTTTTACTATTTGAGGCAAGAAAAAAGTGAGACATGGGGGAAATATTCAAAGTAGAAATGCTTGCTAATGGTAACACTAGAAGCTTGTGCTGCTGTCTCTTGATAGAACATTACAGAGCTCTGTCTTGATTGTAGGTGGGTCTGCTTCTACCCCTACTATAATTAGAACGGAAGGTCAGAACACTTTTGATGGAGAAGTCTTTTTTATTTTTTCTCTGCTTTAGTGGGTAGCATCAGCATTTTTTTCATTGCTGTTCCTCTGAGTAAGTATAGTATAGTATCTTGCATTCCACATGTATACTTAGTTACTAAGAAGAGCTCCTACCACTACTGGGGAAAGTATTTCACTTTGAAATGGTTACTTAAATATTTTTTTCCTCATGTACACCAGCTCTATTAAAAATTGTCCTAGGATAACCAAAAGCTTACTTATCTGTTGCATGTGATAATGGAAGTTTGAAAGACATCATTTATGAAGTGTGGCTGATGGCGTTTGTGTTGTGGCAGCTTAATCCAAAAGACTCTCTGCTACTGAGCTATATCCCCAGCATTTTTTTTTTTTTTTTGCTTCATTTTTTTGTGGGGGCCTCACTATTTGCTGAGACTAGCCTCAAAATTGGGATCCTCCTGAGTCCTGGGTATGTACCCTC